TGGAGAAAGGAAGGATGGACAAGCCTTACAAACTTGATGAAGGACCTACAAGAACTTGAGTGGTTTTCCATTTCAGTTGCACCTATCTCATGAACCTCATGAAGCTTGCTTCACTTAAAAGCAGTGTCATTATTCAGGATAATAAAATCAAGAATGTTCACAGCATTGAGGCATTTTGGGCGCGCAGGTGAGGCTGATCTACAAAAGCCAGACCCCCCTGGCTAGCTGAAGCAATGTTTGAGTCAGAGAGGTAATTTTCAGAGAGTTAACGATGTAGTTTGGTCATTTCCTCTCGTTTGCCCTTCCTGCATTTGTAACGCAAAGTTCAAGTCTGGGGTGGGGGGAAAGACATCTAGTAGTTATGCAGCCTAGTATCTAAGGGAGAAATTTCCAGAAGAAATTTATTGAAAGATGAGTTTCTAATTATTTACCACAATCACACCCACTATATCTACATTTTTAACTATATCCAAAACAAAGACAAAACATAATCTTACAATTTAATTAGTAGTAAGAATCCAGTTATAAAGGGGAAAAAAAAGATTTAGATCAATTATAAATAGCCTTTAAAAAAAAAAAATCCATCAGTCCTGGCTACATTCTCCCTGATGGCAAGCATGCAATATGCCCAGAGACATGAGTGGAGTGGTATGCAGACAGTCAAGGGCAGAACTTGACCCTCAAGACCAAACTTAGTATCTGGAAAAGACCATTTTTTATGATCAAAAAAATAAAAGCTTTAGAGTTGTGTAATCTCAGTCCTAAAGAAACATTTTGCACCTACATTTGTACTACTACAAGGACATTTTTAACTTTCTAGTTCTATATTTTAGACACATACAAATGTTCAGAATAACATTGCCTTTTGCATGAATGTTTATAGTGATGAAGAGACGATGTCTTTTCCCCCCTCCCCTTTTCAGCCTTGTTGTGAAGGTTGAACTGGCTTACTTTAATCCCTGCTTTTAGAAATTAAGGCAAGCCATATCACCTAATTTCTTTGTTGTCATTGGGAGACTTATCACCACGCACTAGTGAAAAATAAGCAGAGAACTGAGGTTAGAAAACTAACTCTAAAATACTCCAAGTACACTCATACTTCCAAACACTTCAGCAGTACAGTGACATGACAGGCTGTTATGTACCTTTGAGCTGCTTACGACCTTTGGCCAAATCATTCATCCATTTCAGAACTTCCGGATTGGAAGTCTTGTCACCATGTGAAGGCTGAAGGTAAAAAAAAAAGGGAAGAATAAAAGAGGAGGAATTGATGGTTCTACAATCAAACAGATAAAAACCTATCCATACACAGTGTGCTAAAAAAACGTCTGTATTACTGCTGAACTGTATCTTTGTGTCACGCAGAGCATTTGGCTTGATCACGGTACTAATTCATCATGCCTTATCTCTCCCCGTTGTGGCACAGTGCTACAGGGATCTGAGTATTTTGGCTCTGATCCTAAAAAAAAAAAAAAAATTTAAATCCTTGACTAATTGGATAAGTAATCTCAGTGACTTCAAAAGGACTGATCAAACACCTAATGTTAGTCAGGTTCCTAAGTGCTTTCCAGGATGGTAGCCGGAGCACTCTGTCCTTTGCAGGGATAAGGCCTTACTGTTTAAGACAGGGATTCTCTTGCACTTTAACAGCACTCTAAACATTTCAAATTAACTGCTTAACTAATCAATGAAAAAGTCCTGTGCAACAGAGTGATTTCACAGACAACAAACAGCAAAATCGTTGTATATCAGTTCTTTGCATTTAAAAATTGCCTCCAAATTAAGATCAGTTTACACTGGATCTTCAAAACTCAGGTACTTAAAATGGCAAAACAGTTTTGCAAAAATAAACCTCTGAAATAATAATTTCTTTTCTGGTCACAGTACGATGACTGGTTAAGTATGAAATTTTACTCCTAAGAGTATGTGATGACCACAGGGCAGTGCAATTCACAAATGTACATTTAAGTTTGTAGTCATTGCTGAGATTACAAGGCAATATACAATTAGCAGAATTTTCATTTTAATGTAGTCATAAAAGATCACAAACTTCCCTGTGTCGTGGTGTACACATCCTTCGCAGCACGGGTGTTTTGGTGTGTTTATACTGCACAATTCACATTACATAAACTAGCTCGATATGAGTGATGATCGTGCGTGCGCTGCACGGAGGACACCATTGACCACAAGCAACTCCCCACCAGCAACACCACAGTTCTTATTTCTCTAATTTCTGCCATCAGTTTCTACTGCGCCTCATGCTTTGAAGGTTTACAGGAGTCTGCTGGAATGAAGGAATCTGCACAGCAGAGCAACAGTTTCCATGAAATGACGTCTACAAAGTAAACATGTAGCTTTTCATCTTTTCAGTCATTTCGGTTCACAAGCCTGTCAGCTGTGTTTCACTGATTCCCACTTCTCACACATCTGGAAGATGGATATTTTGCAACAAAGGTAATCCAAAGAAAATGCAAATTAGAGTCTCAGAACTACTGCATATACTGAAAGATGATAAAAAGGTAGTCCCTCATTGATGCTTTTTCTATTTCATTTTACTAAATATACCATTTTTCCTATTGTTTTGCGTACGTTTAGATACACTGGGATTCTTGCTTGCCTCTTGTAGTATTTCCCTTTATCTTTTCAATTATTATCTTACCAGGTATTTTTTTTCTTGCTCAAACTTTTCTTCATACTTCCTAATTTTTCTCTTGAGACTCTGAAGATGCTTGGTAAGCTGCGCTACTGTTTGGGGTTCTTTGCACTCTTCACAGTTACATCTAGCAGAACTTCTTGGCCTGCAAAACCCAAAAGCACAGTAGCTGCATCAAAGAACTGGCTATAACGGACCGTGCCTTCCTTTCAGGCACATTTAATGCTTTCCTAGCACTCCAGAATTTGCAGCTAGGTTCTTTCACAGGACAGAGACAGTTTAGTTCTACAAAGTAAGCATAAAATAATTGCTTTTGCTTGAAGGTACCCATAGGGCATTCTAATGACTTCACCACCTGTCTTTCACGCTTTCGTTTTCTGTTTGGGTTTTTTTTTTAATTAATTGTGGGATTTCTGAATATTTTTCAAAAGTTTAAGCTAGTAGGTCATAACCTGATCCAGTATTTACATTTAACACCCGCATCTTACTTCACAGATCTTCCAACTGTAACAGGAGAGTGTAACAATGATTTGTAAAAGTAAGCTCAGGAAGGGTTTTATTATTGGGCAAAAACATTATTATTTTGAAGGCAGTTTAGTTTCTAATTTTTTACAATTGAAAACCAGCACATCTGATTATTATTGATATGCAGCTGACAGCTATGTATGTAAGCTTTTAAGAAAGCTTGATTTCTGTGTGACACTCACAGCTTGGTTTCTGGAGATCACATATATGGACTGTTCATATGCTCTCTGACACTTTCATATCTAGTGAATGACTCAAGCTGCAGTTCTATTACAGCTAGTGAAATTTTTAGTATTATACCTTGATAGCCCTCTCTATCTTATGTTCACTCATCAGACTAATTACTAACTAATATTTAAACTTTAAATTAAACCTTGCTAACTATGATTAACAAAGACTTCAAACAATATTGTGCTGTGTTATTACTGAAAAAATGCTAGGTCCTGTTTCTGGTATTGCAAATCAACCATACCAAAATTTCTTGTTTATGATGTAACAGTAACTGAAGAAACATGAAGAGTCAAAAATCGTGGACTGTACAAAAATTATTTAAAATATCTAAGATTTAAAATGTATTTTCTTACATCATGAAAGGCTGAGCACTTGGTGGAGAAGGAGCAGACTCTGTGTCTAGATTAAATCTCTGGCTTTGGCTGAAGATAGAGCAGCGTGGTGACAGAAGAGGATTGTCTCCATCTGTAATGTGATACAGCAGTCGACTGGTCCCTAGGTAATGATGTTCTTGTGGGCTGCTATCCATTTCATTCTGCCAGTCTCTGCGGGCTGGCACAGGCTCTAGAAAGAAAGCATAAACCACATGGACTGAGGGTTACTCACAAGGTATTTAGCTACCTAGATAAATACAAATCTGTACTTACAGAAGTATTCAAAGCATGAGTATTCAAAATAAACAGCAAATAGTTCAGCAAAGTATCCCATGCAGGATGAACAAAATACTGAGGATGAGAAGATAGAAAGAACAGTTACTGGCTTAACATAAAGTATTTTTGGGTTCCACAGGAGAAGGTTGGTGGGTGTGTTTGTAAACTATGAAGTATAATATAAAGATGGAGAGTTTCCCAAAATAGTAGCATTAATTATATGTTCATAGATCTGTTTGCTTTTGAAAGCCACATTCCTGCAGAAGACTGATTGTACAAAACAAGTTTAATTTTGTGATTTAGCATTTAGTATTTTGGTCAAGAGAAAGGCGGATCAAGAATACAATATGCCCTGATGCTAAGAATCTCCAGTGCTGCAGGATACTGCAGGATTTCATTAAGGTTTGAAGTAGTGTACACGTGGTTCTAAACAACACGAGATATGAAAATAACGACTACCAATAACATCCAAGGTAGTTACTCAAGGTAGCGCGCAGTGACTGCTGCTTGGAGGAGTCATGCTTGTGATATTATGTTAATATTGTCTTTCACTATAAATGGAAACCTCACCTCCAATGCCTCAAAGGGTAAAATTTGTTTTATAGAGATGGTCAAGCTAGAAGCCAGAATGATTTATTCTGGTCTGAAAAAGTAGGAATTGGTGAACCTCATCACACTGGTTCTGTTTATGGGTAACTTGGAAAATAATGGGCACATTACGGAGCCTACCTCCAGAGAATACCAAGAGTTCGTCTTCCCTCTGCTGTACCTGGGTACATCAACAGGAATAACCATGGAATCTTATTCCTCAGCCTCAGTGGGTGAAATTGGTGAGGATGATCTAGCCTAGTTGATATTTTTGCTATCAGATAATTGTGTTTTAAAGCAGATTATATTTGTAGGGAGAAACTCCATGCTCTCATAAAAGCTTTCCCCCAAGAAACACTTAATGTATGTTAAAGCAAAGAATGTGCACTGTCTCAGGTTCCCCGACACCAGTTTCTATCGTACATAATATTTTACACCAGCTACATTATTTTTTTTTCTCTGAACCCATGTATATATACAGTCTTTGAATTCAAATCAATTATTTTATATTTCCAGGCAGCATGCATGTTATTTCTGTTCACTATTATATTTACCATGTAGCATGCAGTCTAATACATTTCACAGAATCTTTTTATTAAATGAAAGTCTAAAACTGTACAGAGAAACAACTGTACATGGATTTACTCACAGAAGAGCAGGCAGGTTTATAAAGCTCTTTCACCTTCACTTTCTTTCCCTGTTCTCCTCTGGACAGGGGACATGACATTCCCATGATGAGTGGGTGTTTTTTTCAGGATTTTAATGGAGCCTTTGTAATACGTTTTATTTGGCCTCTGCCCAACAGATACTGAAGCTACAAATCCTTATTGCTGCACTGGGACAGTGGGGACAAACCAGCTTTGAATGGCACCTTTCATAGAAAGCAACTATTGATGTCAAAAATAGTAGTTACAGTGGCCTAAAGTATCATTTTGTCAAGCGCTATCCAACTATTTTTGCTTTACAGGCAACAAAAAAATCCAATTGTATATTGTATAATCATCATAGTTTAGTCTGTCATGCAAAAGTTACATGTGGCTTTTTATCTATAAGTTCATTTACTCTAACAGCACCATCAATTATAATTACATTAAACATTTTCACGATAAGGCAATGTAGATGATTATTAGTTCTAACCTAGCATATTTCCTCTAAGTACTTCGTACTCTGTAGGTCAAATTCAACTCTCCAAGATACCAGAGCAACACCCAAAACTTCTAAATCATGTACGAGATTCAAATCCTTCCACAGAGATCCAGAAAGGTGTCTGGGAGAAGCGTTGCACCGCTCACAGGAAATTGCATTCACAGACAACATACAGTGATACAGGCTGGAATAGATGTTGCTCTGCAAGTAAAAGCGTTGTCTCTTTCTGGCAAGTAATCTTTCCTTCAAAGTAAGACTTTGAAACATCAATAGTTTTGGTTGGGTTTTGGTTTGGTGGTTCTGAGGTTTTTTTAACTTCTGAAAAACAATTTTGTCAACCAGAAGAAACTGACTTCCTTCCTTTTACTTCACTGTCTTTGAACTTAAAGAAACATAATCAATGTGAAATAGGTTTACTAGGAATAGTTTTGCTATTTCTCATGCTCTGTTATTAAAAGGAATAAAATTTTTTATAGTCATACTAAGTAGCAGTCTCCTCACTGTGAAAGGAACATGATGTTATAAAAGAATCAGCCAGTCTGTGTATAATGGGTGCAGGAAAGAAGTTTCCAACATTTGAACTCGGATTTTCTGTGGACCTAGAGGTACTCCTCTTGCAGGAGGCAGTCTGTACTGGTGGTAAACTGTAGAGTCACAGGCTTTTTATCCTTTTCACATTTACATCCAGGCAATTTTACTAAGCCCAAGTCAGTCTCAGAAATAGAAGAAAAGTAAACATTCAGGACTAAACACTCCTGAAAGATAAATGCAAAGGACAAGTAGGGGCTGCAGCAGTCCCAGTGCAAAACCAAACACACAGAGCTGCAGGGACTTCACGGAGTTTTTCTTACTCAGCTAGCAAATGAAGGGGAGACAGCCTGCGTGCCAGGTGAATTTGGGAGTATTTTCCAAAGGCCAGGGCTCTTCCATTTCCTTGGTACCAGGGCTGCCTGACAGCATTGCTCTAGTAAAACTTTAAAACTAATGCAACTTTGGTGTGGCCCCAAGAAAGGTTTTAGTCCCAGCCCTACCACGGATGCACTAAATTACTACCTGCAGTCCAGAAGTGGCCAGCAAGTCACTCAAACTGATTCATTTATGTGGCCTGATTACTATAATAGCGGAACATCTCAGGACGATGACACATTATGACTAACCCCATTTTTAATTACAGCTTAGGACCATCATCTTGATTCCAGTTCTGCATAGATCCTAAACAAGACACTAAGCATTATCCTGAGAGCAGCCCATGGACTGACCAAATATGGACTCATGTTCCTGTGTCTGATCTAATTTTAGCCTCTATTTTTGCCAAAACTGGGAACTAAAGCCCCCTCTAGCCAAGCCAGTAAGTTGCCCCTTAGCCTGCGCCTACTCCATCTCATCTACTCAGTCCAGTTTAGCACCGACAAGAGCTCACCACAGGACTTAAAGCCAAGATCTAGTATCTTATAATATGCAGCATGCTTCATAATGTGGACTTCAATCATATGACATCAAGTCATATGGTACAAGTCTGTATTCCTGCATGTGATATTCCTTACTTTAAGTAAAACAATAATACTCTGAAATCTGATGTATAGAAAAAAAAAAAAATGCAGACGTAGTGTGTTCATCCCTCAACATGTTATGTCCGTGAATGCTAGCATCAGGACTTTATTTTAAAGACATTTAGAACATCTTGTATTTAAGTTCAGCTGCTCACTGTTCAAATCACAGATTTGATGTATATTCATATCCAAAAGCTATAAAAATGACACTCTGCTGTACCCCCTCCCAAAAAAACACAAAAAACCAACAACAAAACCTAGCTTAATAGCACATTGCAATTCTTTATGGTCTCATTTTGCCAGCTCTAATTCAAGTTTTTCCATATTCAGAAGTAAACCAGAAATTGCTGGCTTTGCTCAGAGATAAGAGTTACTGTTCACCTCTTAAAATCTGCATCCTGAAATACCCTGTGGTTTTACTACACTGTTCTAGCTTCATTCATTATATGTATAATGCTTTTTTTTTTATTTTTTGGACTGGGATGTGAAACAAAAGAAATTCAATACACTTCACAATCATGCTTGTTTTTAAAAATAATACATTTGTACATTGTTATTATTAAAATTTTTATTGCTTGGTTCGCTGAGCAAGGGCTAATAACTAGACACATATTATATATGGCATATCCTCTAAAAGCTCTGTTCCTAGCCTGGTACAAATCTCTGGACTTCCATCCAAGTTCAAGATGAAACAGCCAATAGTCCCATGTGAAAACTACCTAAACTGAATGTATCAGATTTCAGTAATAATGTAAGACAAAGAATTAAGAATATCTCTATGCAAAATGGCAAGTTATGAAAAATCCCCACAAATCACAAAGCAGATTTTAAAAGAATGAGTGTGCCTTAAAATCCATTAAATAGGTAGGTTTTCATTCAAGCACAAGTTTGAACTGCTAGAGTGACAGAGGGTGCTGAACTGTGTGAGAAATGCTACATCATCCAGCCTTTGCCTGTGTAGCTGGAGATAGGCAAAAAGGAGCCAGAGAGGACATCAGAAGTAAGGGTCACTAACAGTATGAATTAAAGAAAGATCCAATCAAAACAGCAAAAATAAGAAAAGGAAACGATTATGAACCATTCTAACAACGGATTATGAAACTAGCAGAGCAAAATAATTCAGTAAACTACTGGAAAAGGAGAAAAAACCCACCCTGCCATAAAGGAAAAGAGTCAGTGCAGATTTTGGATCGGCTGCAAAATGTCTCTGCCCGCGCAGCACAGACATGAGGTCTGTCTCTGCCTCAGATCCACACCAAGGCACCAACACCAGTGCAAATTCCACACCTGTATTCAAGAGCTATTAAGGTATTTGCCTAGCTGGGCTAAAGCATCCGGGTTTTTTTAGACAAAACCCAGGATATTTAGTATTTTTTACAGTCCTTCATCTTTACAATAGTTTGGATTATACACACCATTTTCCTTACTATGCAATGCAACCCTCAAACTTTAGAATTTCTGAAGCAGAACACTGCAATTTGTGATTTTTTTAAGTAAATAACTTACTGTTATTTCTTGCTGAAAATTCTGAGCAAACAGCTTCTGAAATAAGTTCTTCTGAACCCAGCCTTTTTTTTGGCATAAAACATCAATCGCAAAGAGGATACTGACCTGTCTGCCTAAATTTGGACCATACGTGGTGAACGATTGAAGTATTTGCGTATTCACATCACTTGTGAGATGTATTAGTCATATTGCCTTTGACCTGTTTTTCACAAACAGTGATTTCTTTTCTGCTGAGCATCACGACTCTGCCAGCTCTGTGACTACAAGCTATGAATTGACAAAAATAGTGCCAAGCCTTAGGGCTATTTATTTGCAAGGACTGGTTTCCATATTGAGGAAAAGGGGAGAGATAACACACCACGGTTTACCCAGATGGGTAATAATACTGGATCATGAATGATTAAAATCCAGATGCTGTAAAACTCACCTTCGCTACCTCTCTGCTGAGGCACTAAATTTAAATCAATAATAGGAGAAATGAAGTGATATTGCTCTTACAAAAAGAATGAAGAAAATAAAATTACATGATATAGCAGGTGATCTCACACAATACAGAGATAGGAAGTAAAGAATGTAAATTTACTTGAACAAAAAAACCCAGATTAAATCCAAAAATAAAAGAATCAGGATTCTTAAAACCTGTCTGAAAAGCAAGACTGCCTTTCAGAAAAACAGAAGGTTATAGCCATTAATTTCCGTTCTTTTAACAGGTATCACCCTTTTTAGATTACATAGCATTTGCATCAGGAAATGGTGCTTTGCATTAGCTCTGCATTGTTTCCCAGAGGACTGAAAACCTGATATTAAACTGCAAGTCACAAGGCTTTCTTATAATTGCAAATGAGAACACATCATGACATGATTGCTTACCTCCACAACTGGCCCCATCAGTTAGCACACTGGTTTGGGCTGATGAGGGGGCTGGATCCTTGGGTGCTGGCAGCTGAGGAGTTTCTTCCTGGGTTGGCAGAAACGCAGAGCACAGATCAGTTTCGAGGGCTTGTAGCTTCAACAAAGAATTCTGCAGACAAAAGCAGAACATTGGGCTAGATAGACAACAACAGAATTACAGCGATAGCTCTTCAACTCACTGAGCCCATCAGCAGCGCCTGCAAAGGGGTGTTCCACTAGCAGCTGTGAGAGGACGTGCAAGAGAACAAACACGCACTATTCCACGAGTTTCTTGACTTCTGGTTATTTAAGTCCCGATTTGCATGGATTATTCATGACACGTGGGAAAGATGACTTCGTCAGCAAAAGACGATTTATTCTAGGAAGCCAGACTGAGATGGTGTCCCTTTTCTTGGTCTTGAAGCAATACACTAAGCAAGTATTTCATTCATTGGGCTGACATCACGATCTGATGACATTATGTCCCTCCCCATTTACCATTCATAAAAAAACATATCTCCCTCTCCAGCCTATTGTGCAGTACACAGCGGCGAACAAAGAGTTACTGAGAACACGCTCCCTCATGGGATTCTTGGAAGAGATTTTTTTTATTTGGCTTTTTTAGAGACAGTTCTTTATGTAGACACAGCGTTCATATAGGCTGCTGCTGTTTGTACAGGGTAACCAGATCATTTCTTATGAGCTGCAAAGGTAAAATTAACAGATCGTTGTCACTTGCTGCAGACAAATCAGTGAGGACAAGGCTAGTTATCTATAACATCACTTCCAGCTACTGTGTCATGCTCGGTCCGTTTCTCATTTTAATCTTTAATGCTGCATGCAATATTCAGCTGTACACTCTGACACAAGCGTCTTGCTGTGATGTAAATACTGTGAAAGCCCTAATCACCATCTGACTGGGCAAAATGAGTCACTGCCGATACCCCACACATTCTGTTCCCCTCTCTCAAGGGAAATACAGCTTGCAACATTAAACAAAATCACACAAGGCTGTCCTAATAATCACACAACTGGGACACACAGAATTATAAGTAAAATGTTAAGTCACTCAAATGGTACATATTTGTGAAAAACAATTTCTGAAAAAAGATCTGAGTTGCAACAGAAAAAAAATTCCTCAAGTTTATACCCTGAAAATCTCCTTTCCCTGCTCTGTCAAAGACCTGAAAGCAATTTATTGATTCATTTAATGAAATTATGAGTTTATTTATTGGAATAATTTCCTTTGTGTAACAATATGTCATCTATGTAGTAAGTAGTTTAATATGTCTTTGTATTATTGTTATAGTGATACATCCCTTTTATAAACCCAAGACTGCCAGTGGTTTTAGTTTAAAAAAAAATAAAAAAGGAAACTAATTTGTCTGAGAACAGCTGGGAAGATTTCAGCCTTAATCCTTCCATTCCTTCTACAGAATTCAGGCAGTAAAAAGGGAGCAGACACTAGCTCTTTCTAGGAGATACCTCAAAACATGGAAATTTCGAAAAAGCACAAGATCACCAACACTAGATCCTGCAACCCTCTATGTGCTGTCAGGAGTGCTTCAAAATCCATATCCCGTCCCACAAAACAGACTAGGTTACAATCAAATGCTTGGACTGTGGTGTCAGCTTAGGTCAAAAAGGAAATCCAGGAACACCTTCCTTCTCCTGGTGCAAGAGCAAACAGGAGCTCAGGCCATTCCTGTCAGAAGCAGCATGATATTAGAGACATGAGAGCAAAGAAATGGGTTGTGTTACACATTCATTTTAGAATTAATTTCCTCTCATCTGTTGTCAAGATACATTGTGACATCTCATCCTATAACACCAGGAAAGAAGGGATTGCAACATCAAGCACTGGTCCATAATGAAATGCCTAAATGTAATACTATTCTTTTTAAATATGGCATGATATAGAGCTGTTTTCTATGATCTGAGGCAGAAGATACTTTTACTATTCCCAGGTGCAGGTTGCATTAACAACCTGCCATCCTCTGGCCCAGCTGCCATTTGTAAGGATAATTTCCTATCTTGACCAGCAGTGCCTCATCTTCACAGCTCACTTTCTCCAGGACTCTTGAATGAATGGCATTTTTTCATTGTCACTTACTGGCACTATTTGGTCCAACACTTTACATATACTCCTTCAAACCGATCTGGCTCCTTTGGCCTGTCTGCAATATAGAGTATACCAAGTGTGCAAATGTCCACCACATGGGCTTTTTCAGTGAAGACCAATACAGCAAATTCACTCAGCCGCTCTGTTTACAGCTGTATCACCTTGGTGCCCATATTACACATCAGCCAGGCAGCAGTCCCAGCGATACCCTACCTGGCTTCCTGCATCTGACATATTTAGTAGACTTCTTACCATCAATTTAAGCATCTTTTGTGAGGCACTTTCAAACTCATCTTTAATCCTCTATAGGACTTTCTTGAACTAGAGACAGAATGATAGAAACCTTGAACAGCTTTCAGGTGGCAGTGAATTTTCCTTGTCAAGGGAAGGGTGATACCATGGCACTGTTTTGGAAAGAGCTTTCCTGACATGACAGGTCTCGCTTTCCACTGCCTCTCACCCCACCTAGACCCAAACAAAGTGGCTGTGGGATTACCACAACCGCCAGGCAGCATTTTACAGTCATTAATGTCATCTGGCGAAAGACGACTATGCCACTTACAGACCAGTGAGGACTGTGATCTCAGCCCGGACCTTATTGTGATAACTGCTGATGGTTAAGTGAGGAAACATAGACAAACGTACCAGAAGAACATACCAAGAAGGTGAACGTAGGTGAATAAGTGACAAATATACCTAAACTTCACAGACTGTTACTTCAAGCATTTGACAAATATCAAGAAAATGTCTTCACTTTGCATTATGGCAAGTTCAGTATCAAAGCATTCACACAGACTACATTGTTAGACGTTGTATTTTGGCAATGCTTATGCTGTAATTCACCAGCTGGTTTATATTCCGTTGCTCTAAATGATATTTTTCACCCATCTGTGGAAGGTGGGTGGATGGCAAATTTCCAGTCACTGGCAAATACTAAAAAAATTCATATAATAATAATAGAAATACCTTATATGATTTTGTGAATGTGCCCTTGACAGGGATTTGATATAGGGAGTAAAAGAGTGAGTACCTTTGATCATTTTGATGTTACAAGGGAGATGATGAATCTGGAGTATGCCATCAACCTCATCTTACACCTCAAACACAGCTGAGTACTATGGTACTGCCACAGTGCTCTACACATGAAAAGCCACCACCTAGTTATGGGAACACATGTAAGGAGACATAGCTTTAAGCAAAGACCAAGCACAAAGCTGCCCAAGGTCACCAACTCATGGCAACAGGAGCGTCCTAGTAAATGCTAGGGATGACCTTGTTGCCTGCCCTGCTGCAGGTCCTGTCCTGTGCCTCTCAGGGGGCTGCTTGAAGTACTGGCCATGCCAGAGTATCCAGGATCCCGCCAGCCTTGCACCTCCCGCTCCATGGCAGGAACAGTGCGGCCCCCTGTTTCTGCACCTGCAGCCTGAGCAGAGCAGCAGCGTGCTCTGGGAGGGGACACAGCCACATATCAGCAACCAGCAGCAGGTCCTCTATCCTGAGGCTCACTGGGGCAGGCCAGCATGATACCAACTGCCAGCGAAAGGAAGGCAAGGAGAGAGAAAAATAAAGTTTGAGCCCTGTCTTCATCTTTTCAAGCCTTCTAAGTTCATTTCAAATCTTACTGACCACTTCCAGCTTTCCCCTAATTCTCCAATACTTTCCAGCACCTGTACAGGCCTGATGTGACTGCAGGTGTCCTGCCACGGTGGTGGGAATGTGTACTCTTCTGCACTGCACACACTCAGCAATGCGTCTAATCTGGAGATGAAAGAGCCTGGGCACCTGCTACTCAAAACTCTGTCATGGTCCAGACCTACCCCTGGGGCCCAGCTGGGCCATCTCTGCCCTTGGCCATTTAAAAGAAGTTGCAAACCATGTTAGAAGCAAATATAAACAGCTAAAATACATAGAGAGGTAAATGTTCTTTCATGGTGGCTACCATCATAAATTTTGGTAAGCTCTTACATGGAAAACCGCTGTCACTTAAGGAATTTAAGCTATGGCATATCATATCAGCTAGTGATCGCAGTTCAAATACTTCAGATTTGACGCTCATTCCAGCTTTAATCTGGTGCCTAACACCAGTGTTTCTGAAGCAGTAATTCCTGATCCATGCTAAAGCAAATGAAAGGACATATTAATATTTAAAATGGATCCTTAAATTTCTTTGGAAAAATAACCACATTGTTGCCCTTTAAGAACAGTACTTTGCACATTTGAAAAAAAAAGCAGTTATAACTGTCTTGGACAAAGGTTTCTTATCTCTTCTTATGTCCTCTTAAAGTAACAGACAATTCAAAGAACTTGAGAAAAAACATCCTATATTATTCCACATCCAAGATAAGGGAAAAAATAAAGACATTTATAAGAAGTCTGAAGAAAACAGAAAGAGAGACATTGTGGTATTTCTCTCCTATTTGTAATTTTTGCTAAAGCTTTAAGAAAATATAGTCATTAAAGTATCATACTCTTGCCTGCTGGAGAAAACAGAGTACAAAACGATTGCCATTTGCAGAGGAAGCTCAGTCTGTAGTAAAGAAACCGTCTTTACAGACAAGTACTCCTGTAGACTGTACCCCACTGACCATCTCGCTTTCCAGATGATGATTATTGAAAATCAAGAGTTGAGACCTTGGGGCAAGGATTTATTGAGATGACAGATAACCTCTTACATCTAGAGATAAATACTAAACACCTACTCTCACATTGGTAAATCCCGCTGGAGAACGGGACACTGAATGAACAAATACTCCCAATTTATCACCAAAATGCTGTGTCAATGAGTGGGAGTCCCCTGAAATAGAGTATAAACAACTTCTTGGTAGGTGCCATCAGTAACTCCCTCTCCAGCTGGAGGTCCCTGCTTGGGGCCCTGCAGGATCAGCACCATGGGACATGTTGGTCAGCATGTCCAGGGGGCCGTAGCCTGGTGGGAGACACTGTGCCAAATGGAGCCTCACAGCCCTGCGCTCTGCCTCATTGCACAAAGGGCTACAGCACTGCCGAACCAGTTACTCAGCCAGTGATCGCTGCTTATCCACAGAGAGAGCAGGCAGCTGTTCTATTATACCCAGTTTATTGATGGATTTACTGGATTTATGAAATCAGCTGGGGCAGAGAAAGAGAATAATCCAAACTTCCAGTATTTAATGGCCTTTGAAGTAATTCACACAGAAAAGAAACTGAGCAAATATCAGCCTGTTCAATTTCTTCACTCTAAGGAAATGAATACTTTCATACATCACATTAAAAGAGTGACATATAAAAGCATCTCCCTTGCTTTTTAATCTAAGAGTTCAGGTCAAAATAAGATAGGTGTATTTTATGTGAACGTAAATAAATATCTGCAGTATCTGTTATAGCAATATTTATGTCTTGAGGCGTATGACATTTTCAATTCAGAACTTCCTTTATGGGGAACAAACAAGCAACAATAAGATAGAACAACATATGCCCTGGGTCTGTATAATGCCACGGGTGAGCAGTGAGGAGAAACACCGCTTTCTCTGATCCAAGAAGAGAATTTATTTTTTTATAACATATGTCCATTTGGATTCTCAGTAAACCTGAGACACAATACAATCTAAGATTTTACGAAAGAAAGCACCAGAATGTGATGCTTGCTCATTCCTCATAAATTCTTAGCTATTTATTTCAATTTCTGATCTAACTATCTGGTATAATGTTTTATACTGATTTTATATATTATCATATTTTGTCTTAACCTTTAAGGAATCCTTTGCAAGGATTTTAAACAGGTGCTTTTCAGTGGAAGCTTTGGTGATTATTTGCAATGGGGCTTCTCAAAAGAAACAGTAACTTGTTGATTTCTCCCAGGGCCTTAACTGGCTAGACAGACGCTGAGCACATGCCTTGTATTGGTCATGGATCGTGCCTCACAAGTTAGCATGGAGATTTTCAATAGTGAGCTGCACAACAATGACACAAATGCATGGGAAATAATTTATTGTAAGAAGATTACATCTGAATTCCTTTAAAAGGACACATTGTGGTTTTCCTCTAATGAAAGTCAAGCATCTATTGATAGACATAGATATTCTCTGGCTCATTATGGAAACAAAGCTGGTTTTCCCATGCTTTGACAGGAAAAGGATTCCCTTCACCCCAACTCTTTTTTTCACCCTGCTTCTGTTGATCTGTTGTCCTGGTCTACACTTAAAAATATTGACAGCTGTTTGTTTAAGTCCAGTATTGTTCACTGCCCTGGCAGTGAGCAAGCATACTCAATGCTAGTATGGAGATACCCTCGACTGTGGGAGATGCTTCATAAGGTTTCCCACTTAGAATAATTGTAAAGCTTGGGTCTGGCCTCCAGTATATTGCTGATTGTGAGAATCTAGCCCAGGCTCATCCATTGTTTGACACGATCACACAAACCGTTTCTTTGTGCTCTACTCTCACACCATCGTCCTGCCATAATCCCTGTGAAAACAGCTCTTGTTTCAAGTGTCACTGGTGTTATTTGGCTTTCCACTCCAACCCTCCCCTGCTCCCATCCTACAACAAGAGTACCTTTTAGACTACATTGTACTGTTCATAGTTCATTTATGAAGGATGTAGCAACTTTGAGAGCTCCTTATTTTCAAACAAAACATAATTGATAGTTGAACACATTTGAGCTGTAATATGAGGAAAAAATCAAATGTTCTTAAAAGATGGCCTTTTCGTTCAGTCAATATTGAATGTTTAATTCTTTTCTGAGCACAAATGGAAAGCAGCATAAAGTTGGCTTAAAATATTTTAAAAATCTCTTTCTTCTGGCTTTTAAACTGTTATAGCAGTCTCATATCACATTTTTAAGCCTTTCTCCAAAAACATGACTAGAATGATTCATTAAAAAGCTAACCTAAGATTCTCAAGTGATTACATTATTCCAAGTCCTTAGAATTAACAAAAACCAAACATCTAATTCAAAATTTGTAACATCATATTTCAACTTTTGGTTAAGCTCACCTCATTTAAGCTGTTAAATTGCTTAGTTTCTTCTTCTGGTGAAATACATGTGTTCTGTTCTAGTTCTATCCTACAAAACAAAACAAGAGTTTTCATGTAAGAGATTGCTTATCTGTGCTGCAAATATTTCAAAATGTTCATCATGTCTGTACATAAATTACAAGCAATAAAACTATTGCTGTCTCAGAGAATGAGATTTCACATTGCTGAAAAGTTGGCAGTGTTTGCTGGCCCCCATGAGACTCACTCACAGACACGATCAAAACTAGCACAAAACCCAGATTCCTTTGTACAAAATAATTCATATTTTTCAACCTATTGTTCTCAGAATCATCCCAGCAAAACCAAATAGTTTTAAAGGTCTCTAGAGACCTCAGAAACGGAGCCGACTGATGCGTAGGCCTTTGTTGTAGTTATTCATAGATCTATCAGGCATTTATAGACTGAAATGACAGGTATGCCACTTCCCTTACCGAAACAGACACACTAGACAGCAACACCAGGGTGAGCAACCTCTTGCCTCCAAACAGGACCCAAGGTGTGCAATTCACATAGGAATAAAACCATCATTTTTGTGGTGGTACCTCCAGCACCAGAATGGGAGGTCTCACAGGCCAGCGAGCTGCACCTCCCTCAAGATACACAGGTACATGACCAGAAGGGAGTGATTTCTGGAGATACTTAAGCAGCAAGGTGCCTTGGCGGACTGTTGTACAATCACCTGTCTACACCTCTGTGTGGCTCTCCACATACATATTCATTCTGCCATCTTCCCTCCAAATGAATAGCAAATGTCTCCATAACGTGAAGAGAACAGAAGGAAAATGGGCTTACAGGAGCAAAAAGGTTAATGCCTAACAACCAATCTCTAGCTTTTAGGCAGCAGCAAGGACATTATGAGGCAGCAGAAGAGAGTTAAAGAAAACTGAGAAAAAGCATGGGGAGAGCAAAAGGACTAATTTAATAGTAAAGAGTGAAATTTTTATAACATGTAAGGAAGGACCTGCAAGGCTACAAACAGCTGAAGAGTTAGTTCTCTAATGAAGAAAAAAATATTTAGAATTATTTATTGCATTGAACTAGAACTACATGTAAAGAAAAGGAAGAAAAGCACACGTGTCAGATTTGTACACTTCGGATATTTGTTTGGATGATTCCTTTCAGGGTACGTAACACAGAGCAAATGTGAACTCTCCCTGAAAAAAAAAAAAGCAATAGCTGCCTAGCAGCAGTTCTTACAGTTGTTATATGAAGTTCTACATAATTCACAGCTGCATCACTCGTGAGTCTTGCAGTGTGGAGAGTAAAACACTTACAAGGCCCCTGACGCGCCACCTTTCTCTCATTTGGGACGATGTCCTTGTCTGCTTTTTTAGGGATGCAGAAGTCTTGCATTTTATTGTTTCTTATTCACTCAAAATAGTGGAGCAAGAAGCTGTTAGTTTTGCATTCTTTGGATTCTGGAGATACTGACATCATTCAGGTGAGTAATGGTTTTTGTGTGAAGCCCATTTACATTAACAGTCATATATCTATGCTGAGCTGATCTCACTCTATACAGAGAGTTTTGGGGGGTACTTTTTTGTTTTCACCACGATTAACTGCTCTGCTAGGCAAATGCAGGTTATCTGATTGTCACCAGGCAACAAAGGGCTTACAATTTAATAACTATGGGTTGGATCCTACTCTCGTTAAAAGTCAAACACAAAATATCCATTAACTCCAAAAGAAGCAGGAACAAGCCCCAATTTTCCATCTGCGCTGAGTACATCAAAATTATTTTAAGCCTGAGCTGAAATTTTGAACAATTGCAGGCAATCCTTATTTTGTATAATTTACATCATGTAAAATAACGACAATGGAGTTCTCTCTGTGGCTACTACTCAAATATATGTTATATCATTCTTTATAAAATATGAGAAGCCTGATCTCTCACCCTCGCTATAGACTGGCAACTCTGGCTTTGGCAGAATCATTCTGTTCTGCATGGCACAAATGACAAAGAAAACCCAGTAACATGTCCTTTTGAAGCTTGTGGACATCACAAAAAAAAAAACCTCAATACTTATTATCATAACAGAGCTCCTATCAGACTTCAAGGGGAAAATCAATTTGCATGAGCAGTGAGCTGTTTAAAAAACAGACCAGAACATGTGAATTATTGAATTATGCATGATATCACTTCTAAACTCGCATAAAATTCAAATAAAACCACATAATTTTAAAAACTAGGAAAAATGTTTAAAGAGAACCTAAACGAATTCACTTCTTATTTCCCAGACTAAACCCAGGAAGGAGCATTACATTCTGTAATTTGCAAGTCTCAATCCAGTCCAACCCTGGATTACACTATCTCCATCCTCAGGAGACTTCTGTGTGTATGCACCATAATGCCACGCATGCTCAGTGTCTTGGGCCAATTAACGCTTTAGTGAAGCCAGGATAAATCCTGACAAGAAAACCACACACTATGCTGTGGGATTAAACCCTTTTTCCAGATTCACTTTCAGTCTACCCTGGCCCAATACTCCTTCCCTGTCCACAGCCTAGCAATCAGTGTTACCCTTGCCGCTGTGAGGGCGGCCTGCCAGGTTAACAGCTCGCAAGGGGAGTCTCAGTACCGCGTCAGAGGACTGATTCAACCTGTCCAGAGGTCACATCACTCCAGTTCACAGAAAGGCAGACCCCACAACAAACACGCCTCAGTGCCAGGAAAACAAAAGGTCCTCTCTGAGACCTTCGCAGACGGCAAAAACCATTATGAAATTCAAGCGTAGTCACCATCTTGACGCAGGGCTGCAGGTGAATATTTCAAAAGCATGCCTAGGAATCCTTACAAAGCAATACAGAACCACAAGAGGCTTTCGGGTGACCATAAAGTGCACACTTGCAGTGAAAGAAACACCACTGTTAAGGGCCCAAGGCTGTTTGGGTACATCCCAGGCTACTCCTTGGGCAGCCTCTGAGTGCTGGAATAAGCAGCCAGCCAGAGAGCCAGCGCAGCAGTGCCTGTCTCGTTAATCACAGCAGTTACATAAAGGCTGGCTGTGGACAACCACACTTGTTTTTCTTTTTATGAGTGCCTCCCACACTCACCAGGCCCAGTCCTTACTTAGGCTACAATAAGATGCTATTTATTTTTTTGTCCTTCTTTCCTCTCCCCACCCTGCCTTTTTTTTCTCTTTTTTCTCTGAGTGTACTGCAGCCGAAGAGCTTGCTAAGGGACTTTCCATGCCTTGATACAAGAAGTATCATTGGAACCATAAACACGAATATTTTAATAACAAGATTCCTGAAGAAACTGTTCTTAGGAACTGGTTGATCATTTCACAGCAAAGCAGTGTTTCATCAGCAAATTCTGATTTGCTGACAGAGAGCTATTTGCAGACACATGCAGGTTGTGATGATTTTTCGCCAGGTCTGAGGCAGGACTCAGAGTCTGGCCAAGATTTCTCCCTGCTCACCCGGCCGCCTGTGCAGGAACGCAGCCTCACAAGCTCTGCCCCACCTGTGTGGGTCCACCACATGGCATGGGGACTTCAGCACTTCTGCAGCTTCCCTGCTCCCTCCCACACATCCCTGAGTTGTAGCTGTTCAGCAGAAAGCGTGGAAACTACGAGAGTCCTCACCTGAACTGCACTCTTGAAAGATACTTGCCTTGAAAACTGAAGTTTGAAAGCTTCATTAGAGCTCGGTCTCGCTCCGGGGAGCACAGAAACCCTGGGAGACTCTGGCTGAGCCCAAGACCCAGGGCAGCCCAAGGCTCTCAGCATTTCCAGTTTTCCTGGAGTAGTCATAGGTCTGACAGCAACTGCCACCCTTCAACCTCTACAGAAATTAGAGACCAACCCAGGGACCAGCTGAGTCCTACTAAATGAAACCCTTCCACTCCCATTTTGTTTGGGGAACAGGAAAGAGGGGGAACTTTCAGGAACTTTTCTTTGGCAGAAAACTTTACCCCAAAGTGTAGTTCCTACACTGGCTTGGAATGCAGTCTTCTCTGAAACACCGATATTCCCACCGCCCAGGAGCCCCAGGTCTCAGCCCCCTCTCTGTGTAACAGGCATCTGAACCAAACACCATCCTCTATTCAGGTAACAGCGTACACAGCTCTGCAATCCACTTCAGTTTTGCTGATTGCCTTTGAGAAGGCAATTGGTAAGAGCAGGTTTTTGTAATCACTTGTATTGTTCCATACTGGCTTTCTTATTCTCTGCCAAAAAGAGGCAATTCTCTTTATTGTAACATTTGTTCTTGGGGCCTGCATGTAACTTTTATCTCCCAAAGGTACAGATTGTATTACACTCTTTTCCAAACTCAACTACAGACAATGACTAGAGCAATATTCAATGTAATCACTGGCAATAGTATTAGAAATTCATGTTCTTGTAATAAAATGTAAAGGTTTCCTTCCATGCGGATGGCATTTCAAATTCTAAATGCCGATGTTCATAAATCATGCATGATAAACACCACGTGAAATTAAAATCCTTAATTCACAAGCTGGGTATGGCTTAGCCAAGGACAAAACAGTATTCCCTCATTCTTCTGACTGTAAAACTCTTCACCAAGTCTGTTCTTCCATTTCCCCCAAACCCTGCTAAAACTTTTTCTTCACTGTTTCGGTGGTTATCCTAAAATAAAAGTGCCCTCCCAAAAAACGATGAACACATAGGAGTCCTGTTTCTGTAGATTGTTTCTCTGATATTGCCTGTTCTGTTCTTCTCTGTCACGTGTCTGGTTACCAACATCCCTTTGTTAGGTTACTCTGAAATTAGGTTGCTCTGCTTAACAGAGGCTGTGCTGAAAAGATTTTCATATCTCAGTAGCTTTTAATCCATATTTAGACAAATTAAAACTATCCTGTTTCTAGCTGCCCCACACTCACTAAAACAGATTTTTAAAACAACTCTGTACAGCTCAGAGGCACCTAGAGCTTTAGGCTGCAATGAGACTGATGACTAAGCTATAGCAGTCTGCAGAAACTATATCAAAGCACAAGAAACAACAAGCGACACTAGACATCAACCTTGCTTCTTAGTAAGAGACAGAAATAAATCTTTCTTCTCCTATCTTCCCCACACACATCTGATAGACTGAGGAGTCTGCCCAGTGGCACCCTGCAGAGCTGTGGCCATCGCCTCTTCTCCAAAAGACCAGAAAGCTTTTGGTCTATGAGTTAGGGATCCTAGGCAGATGTAGCATTCCAAAGCATTGCTAATTTTGCCAGTAACCTAGGGTGGAAGATAGTGCAACCCAAGTTTTGTGGGACTAGCAGATGTGTTCCATCAAAATCTAGCTATGATTGTTGCCTGCTGCCAAGACTGAATACTTAACTTTTGCCATGTCCCAGAGCAGAGAAGGCAGAAAACAGCACAAGACGTCATACCCTGGCAGCTGTGTTTCACAGTCTGTTGCACGAACCAGTTCTGTGATCCAGATGCAGCAGCCAGCGATCTGCGTGAGCTGAGCCATGGGCATGTAATTGCTCTAGCGCTATCAAAGCTGATTGACGGCAGAGGGATGGGGCAAGCTGCTGGTGACCCTTAAGAGGAGTCACCAGACACAGTGATCCTCAAAGTGAAAGTTGTAACTTCAGCATATGTAATTTAAAGTCCTCTGCCTCAGCTGGGTGGTGGGAATGTTTTCTCCAAGGACAGTTAAGACAGTTAAAATAAATGAAATGTGTGTGTGAAGCCAGAGACCATGCATTAATTCTTGTTTACTCCATGTTCAAAGTTCCTTATTTGAGAGTAAAGTCACGTCCGTTTTGTTGTAATATAATCAAAATAAGACATGGCCAGAGTTGAGATATGATCGCTATGCTTTCACAGCTCTTAGCATAGTAAATCCAGGTACCAGTATTTAACAGATTTAGCACTTGTGGACAGCAGGATTCCTAAGGAGCTACCCTGATATTAAACAGGAATAAACAGCAGGTTTAATACCAAACAAACTAAAAAGGCCAAACTGTTGAAGTGGACAGGGGAACTTTACTGTGGTTGCTGTTTTATTCATGCACACTCTACTCTGGTTCTTACCTTTAAATTCTATGTTTCTTCCATCATGTTCCTTTCATCATTAACCAGTAATATTTCGTTGTCTACCCATACACAGATCTCCTACCAGCAAAGCCACTAGGTAGGTCTAACTCTCTGATACCAAACTCATTATGCTTCTCTTTACAAGAAATCCATGTGATTTTTTCCTTCCGTAAAGAATGCCAGAAACAGAGAAGGCCCACTTCCTAGGCTGGGACTAATTAGAAACACTTTCGGAGATGCAGGACTTTGCCATGTCTCAATTACAGACACAAGCATTGGAAGGTAAAAGCAGTTCTTTCTGAAAGCTAATCAAATGCTTGGTCGTTCTGCTAAAGCTTCCTTTGAGAGCACAAATTAGTATCATTTACAATGTTGCCTACTAAACCTGTGGTGAAGGCAACCAGCTCATTTCAGATAGAGCACTAAACTCTCCTTGGATGGCAACCATCACTACTAACCCACTCCTGACTTGAAACAGACCTTGAAGGCAAAGAGCTCTGTATGTCCACTAGCTGTGCCCTGACCCATTGCACGTCCCTGGGATGTACAGCTGCTGCTCCAGTCCCTCCAAAGAGAGACAGAGCTTCTGCCACACAGCACCAAGGCTGTCATGTAGCTCGAGGCAGAGAACAAAGAGCAGAGACTTGGCTCACCTACCTAAAACTCTATGAGCACAGCAAAGCAGGGCCAAATCAGTGCCTGAGCATGGGCAATTTGTAAAGTAGTGCCCCAAAAACTGATGGCTGTGAAGAGCATGATCTTATTTACATGGTCCAAGCCAGTCAGTAAGAGCTAAATCTTATCTTTAGGACACACCCTCACTGGTAGATTGGGTCATTTGGGCACACTGAAACCTCATCTCTAGCCTTTTGCACCACTCTGAAGGACTGGAGGAGGAACTGTGACTTCCAATAGTTACCAGAGCTAAGTTACTTCATGATCAGCCGAGTTACCTGCCATCAAGACTCAGCTAATGCCAGACTTGAATATCCCATACCCTCCACAGCATTGGAACAAGCACAGTTACCACAGCACCCAGGGTCTAAACTGTACGTAAATGCATACCCATGCTAAAATCAGGTGTGTAGCTTCCCATGCCCATTTCTCAGGGAGAAAACAGCTCTGAGAAAGAGCGAGGCAAGTCAGCACTGGGGAAAAAAGAAGTGCCAAGATATTTCTGAAACTTGGCACAGAGGAACTGCAGTTTCTGAACTGAGGATGTTCTTCCTGCTTGAAACCTAAGGGGTTTAAAGGATGATGAAATTTGCATTCTTATCTCCATCTCTTTCATTTTCTCCAAACAGTTCTAGGCACATAAATACAGAATACAACTGTCAGTGGGAGCCAGGAGTCTGAATATTTTATACAAAAGGCAGCAAGTGAATTAGCCTTTCCTATGGTTAATCAGAAGTGAAATGCACTGTCTTATCCCAAGGCTTACCTTGGTTGAAATCTCACGACTGCTTCCTGGCCTCTGAAAACCACGTTCTGTGCATAATTAGCTGAGGATCCAGCCTTCCTCTGCCATTCTGAGAGACCCGGCAATGCACTTTCCAGCTCCTGCACAAAGCAAGAAAAAATGTTGAATGCCCTGTCAGTACAAATTAGGCTTAGCTGAACATTTTGCTTTAAGAAAAAATGAGCTCCACGAGACCAGATGCTGATTATGGTTCTTTATTATTTTTTTGTAATAATCTGGAAATAACTGGAAAGCAGAGACTAGAAAAGGTTCTAAACAAAGTAATATCTTCTTTCACTGTAAGAAATTTTTTGAAACCAAAGAAGACTGTAATCCGTTTTCTGTTTATTAGTTAGATAACAGATGTCAGCTTCTTAGCTAAGAGGTGCTATACACAGAGTTCAATATTTTTGTGCTTATATATAGATTCATATTTCATTTGAAATTATTTACTTACTTTTCAGTAATATTTTATTACTTGGGCATCATCAGGAAAATTTTGGCTGACAAAAGCAAGTGCAATTCACTTAAATAAGATTTGTAGGTTTAACCAGTTTCCTTTTTCCTTTTGCTCTTTCCC